CGCGTCTCTCTCTCGGCCTGCGTAGCCATGTCTGAGGTGATGTGCAGGAGGGGAGGGGTTGCCATCATCATCACCATCATCATCACCACCACCATCACCACCAGCATCACCACCACCATCACCACCATCACCACACAGCTGTGGACTCAACTAATCACCTCTCTCTCCCCCCCCTCCCTCTCCTCTTATACCCCCCCCATCTCCCCTCCCCCCCACCCATATCCCTCCCCTCTCCCTCACCTCCAATTTACATCGCTCGCTCAATATCTCCCCCTCTGCCCCCCCCCATCTCCCTCCCCCAATCTCCCCTCCATCTCTCTACCCTCTCACTCCTCCTCCCATCTCTCCCTCCATATCTCCCCCTCTGCCCCCCATTTCCCCTCCATCTCTCTACCCCCTCACCCCTCCTCCCATCTCTCCCTCCATATCTCCTCCTCTGCCCCCCCTATCTCCCTCCATCTCCCTACCCCCTCCCCCCTCTCACCCCTCCCCAATCTCCCCTCCATCTATCTACCCTCTCACCCCTCTTCTCACCCCTCCTCCATCTCCCTCCCCCAATCTCCCCTCCATCTCTCTACCCTCTCACCCCTCCTCTCACCCCTCCTCCCATCTCTCCCTCCATATCTCCCCCTCTGCCCCCAATCTCCCCCCAATCTCCCCCTCCATCTCTCTACCCCCTCATCCCCTCTTCTCACCCCTCCTCCCATCTCTCCCTCCATATCTCTCCCTCCCCCAATCTCCCCCATCCATCTCCCCTCCATCTCTCTACCCTCTCATCCCCCCCACTCACCCCTCCTCCCATCTCTCCCTCCATATCTCCCCCTCTGCCCCCCATCTCCTCCTCCATCTCTCTACCCCTCTTCTCACCCCTCCTCCCATCTCTCCCTCCATATCTCCCCCTCTGCCCCCCAATCTCCCCCTCCATCTCTCTACCCTCTCACCCCCCCACTCACCCCTCCTCCATCTCTCCCTCAATATCTCTCCCTCCCCCAATCTCCCCCTCCATCTCTCTACCCCCTCATCCCCCCACTCACCCCTCCTCCCATCTCTCCCTCCATATCTCCCCCTCTGCCCCCCAATCTCCCCTCCATCTCTCTACCCCCTCATCCCCCCTCTTACCCCTCCCCCATCTCAATATCTCTCCCTCCCCCAATCTCCCCTCCATCTCTCTACCCCCCTTCTCTCACCCCTCTTCTCACCCCTCCTCCCATCTCTCCCTCCATATCTCCCCCTCTGCCCCCCAATCTCCCCCTCCATCTCTCTACCCTCTCATCCCCCCCACTCACCCCTCCTCCCATCTCTCCCTCCATATCTCCCCCTCTGCCCCCCATCTCCTCCTCCATCTCTCTACCCCTCTTCTCACCCCTCCTCCCATCTCTCCCTCCATATCTCCCCCTCTGCCCCCCAATCTCCCCCTCCATCTCTCTACCCTCTCATCCCCCCACTCACCCCTCCTCCCATCTCTCCCTCCATATCTCCCCCTCTGCCCCCCATCTCCTCCTCCATCTCTCTACCCCTCCTCTCACCCCTCCTCGCATCTCCCTCCATATCTCCCCCTCTGCCCCCCAATCTCCCCCTCCATCTCTCTACCCCCTTCCCCCTCCCCCGTAGCGATGTCTGAGGAGGTGAATGGAGGCGGAGGGGCTGCCACTTCGGCCGAGGAGCCGATGGACACCGGCGTGCCGATGGCGTCGTCGGTGTCGGTGTCGGTGTCGGCCGCCCCCGCCGTGCCCCCCGCCGCGGAGAAAGTTGGGGGGGCCCCGGACGCGGGGGTGGACGGCCTCGTGGCGGGGGGCCCCGAGGTGGGGAAGAGCGAGGAGGGGGCCAGGGGCCGGCGGTGCCGTGGGGGTCGCTGCGGCCCGCGGGTGGCGAGAAGCTGAAGAAGCTGAAGGAGGCGGCGGAGGCAGTGGAGGCAGTGGAGGCAGAGGAGGCGGTGGAGGAGGCAGAGGAGGCGGTGGAGGCAGAGGAGGAGGAGATGGAGCTGGGCGAGGAGCGGTCTCTGCTGCTGGAGGCCGGAATCTCGGCGAGGGTCACCACAGCACTGCTGGACGTCTACAGATCCGGTCAGACGCGCGCGCGGATAGACACGCGCGCAGATAGACACACGCAGGTAGACACGCAGATAGACACACGCGCAGATAGACACACGCAGGTAGACACGCAGGTAGACACGCACAGGTAGACACGCACAGGTAGACGCGCACAGGTAGACACGCACAGGTAGACACGCAGGTAGACACGCAGGTAGACACGCACGCAGATAGACACGCAGGTAGACACACGCAGGTAGACACACGCAGGTAGACACGCAGGTAGACACGCGCAGATAGTAGACACGCAGATAGTAGACACGCAGATAGATACGCACAGATAGACACGCACAGATAGATACACGCAGATAGACACGCGCAGATGGATACACGCAGATAGACACAACAACAACAACCGCCATTCGCCACTAAGTGGCGGTGACGTCACCACGACGCTTGTGCCAGGCTATGTGCACCCTGAGGCCACGTGAAGTGTCGAACGCCCGCTAGCAGGAGGTCACGGGGCAGACCCAGGTGCCACGGGTCGACTGACTGAGATGACTGGCTGATGCACCACCTGTGCCCCCTACTGTGCCAACCTGCTGTGCTTTAGCCACCCGGCGCTCCGCTCGTTGTTGTGAGCGTCGCTCCTCCGCCCTCCGTTGTTGTTGGAGGGCGACTGCCTCCAACTGCCCAGTAGCATCCTTCATGAGCCTCCTCCACAGAGGCCGATCTTGACACCGCTGGTACCGGTCATCGGCAAGTCCACTCAGCTCCACGTCCTCCTGTACCACATCACTCCATCTCTTCTCCAGCCCGTGCCGCGCCCGTTTAGCCCCCTCGATCCGGCCAAACAAAAGCTGTTTCGGCATGCGGTGGCTGGGCATGCGGGCTACATGACCCAGCCATCGCAGCCTTGCCTGCCGGAGGAGCTCACCGATGGGACCTTGCCCAGATCTTTCAAGGACCTGTGAGCTCCCCACACAATCCAGCCTGGTTAAACCCAGGATGGATCGTAGGCAGGCCAGCCTAAATGTTTCTAACCGGCGAAGATGTTCCATTAGGGGGGGTCCACGTTTCGCAAGCGTAGAGAATGGAGGGAATGACCGTGGCCGAGAAGACCTGAAGCTTAGTGCGGAGCGACAGACCAGGTAGCTTCCACACAGCGTTACGCAACCGATGAAAAGATATTGCCGCTCGACTGATTCGGAGTGAGACCTCTGCTGTTAAACTGGAGCCGGTCATAAGCACACTGCCCAGGTATGGGAAACTCTCCACTCTCTCCACAACTGCCCCATCACCGATTGGGAGTTGTGGGGGTGGAGTGACCGATGGTACAAAATACCCAGGCAGGTGCTTAGTTTTGGTGGGGCTGATGGTAAGGCCCCACCTCTTAGTGGCACGCTCCAGTCTCAGCAGCAGCGTCTCCAACTCCTCTGAATGAGCAGCTATTACCAAATCATCAGCATACATAACGTGGTTGAGCAATAGGGAGCCATCCCTTGACCGCACCCGGGCATCGATCAGCCTCCCATTATATCTGTACCATATGGAGATTCCCCCGGTACAGCTATTGAAGGCTTCACGAACTACGTGGTCAAAATAGATGTTAAATAATGTGGGAGCCAGAGGACATCCCTGTCGCACCCCAAGGTGTACAGGGAATGGCTCTGACTCCCGGCCACGTAGTTTTACCCGGGCCCGCTCACCATCATGAAGGTTCTTAATGATCGTGAGCAGAGGGTCAGGTACTCCAAAAGCATGTAGAACAACCCAGAGCCCAGGCCTACTGATGGTATCATAGGCCTTGACCAGGTCAATAAAGCAGAGATGTAGGTCTTGTTGGAATTCCCTACACCTTTGCTGTAGCAGACGGACAGAAAATATGGCATCTGTGCAGGACCGCCCTTTCCTGAAACCGCATTGGGGCTCTGCAAGCCTCTCCTCAGCGTGCCTGGCAAGGCGATGTTGAATAATCCTTGCCAGGACCTTTCCCGGCACACTGAGGAGTGAGATGCCCCTGTAGTTGTTACAGTCTGTGCGGTCCCCCTTCTTAAAAAGGGGGACCACCAGGGCATCCTTCCAATCCTGCGGAACCCGTCCAGTGGTCCAGACTGTTGTTATGATGTCATATAGGGCAGTCTGTGCACAAACGCCACCCTCCCTCAGCATTTCGCTTGGGAGATCATCTCTGCCCGGTGCCTTTCCTGGTCTCAGACTCCGGATCGCCTTCAGTACTTCCTCAACAGATGGCACCTCAGCCAGCCACTCACAGGGGGTGAATTCTTCCAATATTTGAGGCACCGCAGCCTCAGCAGGGTCATCCTCACTTTGTGCCACGATGTTTTCCTGGCTGAGGGATTTTCCCTCCCCCAGGACCTCACAGAAATGCTCAGCAAATCTGCAAACCTGTTCCTGGGGGTCGGAGATTGGATCACCGTTTTTTCCCCTAATGATGGTAATAGGTGTGGCGCTGCAGGTTACTTTTTTGATGGAGTTAAATAGAGATTTGTGATCACGGGCCACTGAGGCAGACTCCATCTCCTCAGCAACCCGCGACCACCACCCATCCTTGCAGCGCCTCACGGCTCTCCGAACCTCCGAGCGAAGGCTGCGGTAAGCCTCCTCATTCTCTGACGTGGGATTCTGTAGCCGATGACAGTGGGCCTGTCGCTTTTTCTCAACCATCCTGAACACCTCTGTCAGCCAGGGTCTCTGGGGAGGTCTGGACCGCGTACCCAAAGCAGCCATTGCAGTTGCATGAGTCACAGTCCTAAACCTCGCCCATTTACCCTCGACATCAGGAGGAGTGGGGGACGATGCCAATCCCAGCCGCAAGCGATGATGAAATTCTCACTTGCAACTTTCATCAGATAACTGAGACCAGGCCACTTTAGGTTGGAATGAGGTCCTGGAGTGGAAGAATGGCAGGCGCATCTTACAGAAGACTAGTCGATGGTCAGAGGGCAGATCAGCTACACGGTAGGTCCTGGTGTCAAGGACATGGGCTCGCATCCGCTGGTCCGTCACTATATAGTCCAGCAGATGTTCTTGCTTGGACCCGGCATGCATCCACGATGTTGTGTGGATGCGCCGATGCCGGAACAGCGTGTTGGTAATTACAAGCCCATGGGCTGCACAAAAATCTAGCAGCCTCCTACCGTTGTTATTGAGCTGATCTGGCCCATGCCCTCCAATCACTCCAGACCAGGTGCCAGCATCGTGACCAACTCGGGCATTGAAGTCGCCCAACATGATGACTCTATCCCGAGGGGCCACTTTAGCCAGCACCTGTGACAGGAGGTCATAGAAGGCATCCGACTCATCGGCTTTGCCTGCATCCCTCCACGGATGTTCGTCTTCGGTGGGGGCATAAGTAACCACGACCACCATTGTACAGGAGACAAGCTGAGATTAGGAGCACTCCCTTCAAGGGTGTGCTCCTAATCTCAGCTCATTGCCCGTATAAAAGACACCTGGGAGCCAGAAATCTTTGACATGCGTATGTCTGCATGTTGTTGTTGTTATTCTGTCTCTCACTGTTCAAATAAACCTACCGTTAAAATTACAGACTGATCATTTCTTTGTCACTGGGCTATGAACCTGGCGACCCGGGTTCGATTCCCGCTCACGGCCAACACCAGTGACGATTATCTGAACCGGTCCCGGGCCTCCCCTAGGTCGACTCGGCCTCAGATGAGTACCTGGTGCGGTGTGTAGTAAACACCGCCACTGGGGAGACAAAGGCGGTCGGGCGTGGTGCTGGCCACCCACCCCCTCGTGTACCGTTCCGGCCTTCATAGGTGCTCGCTGACAGCACTTGCCCCTACAGTCTGTTAAGGCTACACGGGGGATCTTTGTCTCTGTGTGTTCATAGGCGCTGCTGCTGCTACTGGCTAACAGCACTTGCCCCAACAGTCTGTTAAGGCTACATGGCGGTGGGGGGGGCGGATCTTAATGTACGTGTGTGTGTGTACGTGTGTGTGTGTACGTGTGTGTGTGTACGTGTGTGTGTGTACGTGTGTGTGTGTACGTGTGTGTGTGTACGTGTGTGTGTGTACGTGTGTGTGTACGTGTGTACGCGTGTACGTGTGTGTGTGTACGTGTGTGTGTGTATCTGTGTGTGTGTGTACGTGTGTGTGTGTGTACGTGTGTGTATGTGTGTACGTGTGTGTGTGTACGTATGTGTGTACGTGTGTGTGTGTACGTGTGTGTGTGTGTATCTGTGTGTGTGTGTGTGTGTATATCTGTGTGTGTGTACGTGTGTGTGTGCGTGTGTGTGTGTGTATCTGTGTGTGTGTGCGTGTGTGTACGTGTGTGTGTGTACGTGTGTGTGTGTGTACGTGTGTGTGTATCTGTGTGTGTGTGTACGTGTGTGTGTGTGTACGTGTGTGTGCGTGTATCTGTGTGTGTGTATCTGTGTGTGTGTGTGTACGTGTGTGTACGTGTGTGTGTGTGTGTGTGGGTGTACGTGTGTGTGTGTACGTGTGTTTGTGTGTGTATCTGTGTGTGTGTGTGTGTATCTGTGTGTGTGTGTGTATCTGTGTGTGTGTGTGTGTATCTGTGTGTGTGTGTGTACGTGTGTGTGTATGTGTGTGGGTGTGTGTGTGTTTATGTGTGTGTGTGTACGTGTGTGTGTATCTGTACGTGTATGTGTGTACGTGTGTGTACGTGTGTGGGTGTGTACGTGTGTGTGTGTACGTGTGTGTGTGTGTGTACGTGTGTGTATCTGTACGTGTGTACGTGTGTGTATCTGTGTGTGTGTACGTGTGTGTGTGTGTATATCTGTGTGTGTATCTGTGTGTGTGTACGTGTGTGTGTGTATGTGTGTGTATATCTGTGTGTGTTCGTGTGTGTGTATCTGTGTATCTGTGTGTGTGTGTACGTGTGTGTGTGTATCTGTGTGTGTGTGTACGTGTGTGTGTGTATCTGTGTATCTGTGTGTGTGTGTACGTGTGTGTGTGTATCTGTGTGTGTGTGTATCTGTGTGTGTGTGTATCTGTGTGTGTGTACGTGTGTGGGTGTGTACGTGTGTTTATGTGTGTGTATCTGTGTGTGTGTATCTGTGTGTGTGTGTGTGTATCTGTGTGTGTATCTGTGTGTGTTTACGTGTGTATGTGTGTGTATCTGTGTGTGTGTGTGTATCTGTGTGTGTGTACGTGTGTGTACGAGTGTATCTGTGTGTGTATCTGTGTGTGTGTTTACGTGTGTATGTGTGTGTATCTGTGTGTGTGTGTGTGTGTATCTGTGTGTGTGTACGTGTGTGTGTACGTGTGTATCTGTGTGTGTATCTGTGTGTGTATCTGTGTGTGTGTGTGTGTATGTGTGTGTGTAGGGGCTGTGGCCCACGAGGATCTGGACGACCGTGCGCTGGAGGCACTGAAGGAGTTTAACGAGGACGGAGCGTTGGCCGTGCTCGAACAGTTCCGGGACAGCGACCTCTCCCACGTGCAGGTGATCCTCACCAGCTCGCTCACCAACTCACCAGCTCGCTCGCCAACTCACCAACTCGCTCACCAACTCACCAGCTCGCTCACCAACTCACTCACCAACTCACTCACCAACTCGCTCACCAACTCACCAACTCGCTCACCAACTCACCAGCTCGCTCAACAACTCGCTCACCAACTCACCAGCTCGCTCACCAACTCACCAGCTCGCTCACCAACTCGCTCACCGACTCAACAACTCGCTCAACGACTCACCAACTCACTTGCCAACTCACTCACCAACTTGCCCGCCAACTCACCGACTCACTCACCGACTCACTCACCAACTCACTCGCCAACTCACTCGCCAACTCAATCGCCAACTCACTCACCAACTCACTCACCAACTCGCTCACCATCTCACTCACCAACTCGCCCCCCAATTCACCAACTCACTCACCAACTCACTCACCAACTCGCTCACCAACTCACTCACCAACTCGCCCCCCAACTCACCAACTCACCAACTCACTCACCAACTCGCTCACCAACTCACTCACCAACTCGCTCACCAACTCACTCGCCAACTCACTTACCAACTCACTCACCAACTCGCTCGCCAACTCACTCACCAACTCACTCACCAACTCGCTCACCAACTCACTCACCAACTCGCTCACCAACTCACTCACCAACTCACTCACCAACTCGCTTACCAACTCACTCACCAACTCACTCACCAACTCACTCCCCAACTCGCTCGCCAACTCACTCACCAACTCGCTTACCAACTCACTCACCAACTCACTCACCAACTCACTCACCAACTCACTCACCAACTCACTCACCAACTCGCTCGCCAACTCGCTCGCCAACTCACTCACCAACTCACTTACCAACTCACTCACCAACTCACTCACCAACTCACTCACCAACTCACTCACCAACTCACTCACCAACTCGCTCGCTAACTCGCTCGCCAACTCACTCACCAACTCACTCGCCAGCCAACTCGCTCACCAACTCGCTCACCAACTCGCTCACCAACTCGCTCACCAACTCGCTCACCATCTCGCTCACCAACTCACTCACCAGCTCACTCACCAACTCACTCGCCAACTCGCTCACCAACTCGCCAACTCACTCACCAACTCACTCGCCAACTCGCTCACCAACTCGCTCACCAACTCGCTCATCAACTCGCTCACACTCAGAGACTCGCTCACTCATACAACGACCTCCCCCGTGTCTCTCTCTCCCTTCGCCTCCGAGTGGCCGATGATGAGTAACTCTTTCACCATCTTTCGACTGAGTCTCTGTGATGGAGTAAATCATTACCCTGAGGCCACAGGGAGACTCCCCGTGTCTCTCTCACCCCGTGTCTCTCTCACCGTGTCTCTCTCACCCCGTGTCTCTCTCTCTCCCCGTGTCTCTCTCTCCCTGTGTGTCTCTCTCCCCGTGTCTCTCTCACCCCGTGTCTCTCTCTCCCCGTGTCTCTCACCCTGTGTCTCTCTTTCTCCCCGTGTCTCTCTCTCTCCGTGTCTCTCTCTCCCCGTGTCTCTCTCTCTCCCCGTGTCTCTCTCACCCCATGTGTCTCTCTCCCCGTGTCTCTCTCACCCCGTGTCTCTCTCTCCCCGTGTCTCTCACCCTGTGTCTCTCTTTCTCCCCGTGTCTCTCTCCCCGTGTCTCTCTCTCCCCGTGTCTCTCTCTCTCCCCGTGTCTCTCTCTCTCCCCGTGTCTCTCTCTCTCCCCGTGTCTCTCTCTCTCCCCGTGTCTCTCTCTCTCCCCGTGTCTCTCTCTCTCCCGTGTCTCTTTCTTCCCGTGTCTCTCTCACCCGTGTCTCTCTCTCACCCGTGTCTCTCCCCCCGTGTCTCTCTCTCTCCCCGTGTCTCTCTCTCACAGAACAAGAGTGCGTTTCTCTGCGGAGTCATGAAGACATGTCCTGTCTCACCACGTGTCTCTGTGTCTCTCTCTCTGTGTCTCTCACAGAACAAGAGTGGCTTTCTCTGCGGAGTAATGAAGTCATGTCCTGTCTCAACACGTGTCTCTGTGTCTCACCACGTGTGTCTCTGTGTCTCTCTGTCTCTGTGTCTCTGTGTCTCTCTCAGAACAAGAGTGCGTTTCTCTGCAGAGTAATGAAGACATGTCCTGTCTCACCACGTGTCTCTCTGTCTCTGTGTCTCTCTGTCTCTCTCACAGAACAAGAGTGTGTTTCTCTGCAGAGTCATGAAGACGTGTCCTGTCTCACCACGTGTCTCTGTGTCTCTGTGTCTCTGTGTCTCTCTGTCTCTGTGTCTCTCTCTCTGTCTCTCTCACAGAACAAGAGTGTGTTTCTCTGCGGAGTCATGAAGACATGTCCTGTCTCACCACGTGTCTCTGTGTCTCTCTGTCTCTGTGTCTCTGTCTCTCTCTCACAGAACAAGAGTGCGTTTCTCTGCAGAATAATGAAGACATGTCCTGTCTCACCACGTGTCTCTGTGTCTCTCTGTCTCTGTGTCTCTCTGTCTTCTCTGTGTCTCTGTGTCTCTCTGTGTCTCTCTGTGTCTCTCACAGAACAAGAGTGGCTTTCCCTGCAGAGTAATGAAGACTTGTCCTGTCTCACCACGTGTCTCTGTGTCTCTCTGTCTCTGTGTCTCTCTGTCTCTCTCACAGAACAAGAGTGTTTCTCTGCAGAGTCATGAAGACGTGTCCTGTCTCACCACGTGTCTCTGTGTCTCTGTGTCTCTGTCTCTCTGTCTCTCTGTCTCTCTGTGTCTCTCTCACAGAACAAGAGTGCGTTTCTCTGCAGAGTAATGAAGACATGTCCTGTCTCACCACGTGTCTCTCTGTCTCTGTGTCTCTCTGTCTTTGTGTCTCTCTGTCTCTCTCACAGAACAAGAGTGTTTCTCTGCAGAGTCATGAAGACGTGTCCTGTCTCACCACGTGTCTCTGTCTCTCTGTCTCTGTGTCTCTCTGTCTCGGTGTCTCTCTGTCTCTCTGTCTCTGTGTCTCTCTCACAGAACAAGAGTGTTTCTCTGCAGAGTCATGAAGACATGTCCTGTCTCACCACGTGTCTCTGTGTCTCTCTGTCTCTGTGTCTCTCTGTCTCTGTGTCTCTCTGTCTCTCTGTCTCTGTGTCTCTCTCACAGAACAAGAGTGCGTTTCTCTGCAGAGTCATGAAGACACGTCCTGTCTCACCACGTGTCTCTGTGTCTCTGTGTCTCTCTGTGTCTCTGTGTCTCTCTGTCTCTCTCACAGAACAAGAGTGCGTTTCTCTGCAGAGTCATGAAGACACGTCCTGTCTCACCACGTGTCTCTGTGTCTCTCTGTCTCTCTCACAGAACAAGAGTGCGTTTCTCTGCAGAGTCATGAAGACACGTCCTGTCTCACCACGGTTCTCTGTGTCTCTCTGTGTCTCTCTGTCTCTGTGTCTCTCTCACAGAACAAGAGTGCGTTTCTCTGCGGAGTCATGAAGACCTACCGGCAGAGGGAGAAACAGGGACGGAAAGTTCCCGATGTCAGCAAAGGCCCCGACGAAGCAAAGATTAAGGTACAGGGGGCGGCCGTGGAGCTCTTCGGCACGGGAGCAAAGTCTCTCCCCGTGTCTCTCGCTCCCTGTGTCTCTCTCCCCGTGTCTCTCTCCCCGTGTCTCTCTCGCTCCCTGTGTCTCTCTCCCCGTGTCTCTCTCCCCGTGTCTCTCTCCCCGTGTCTCGCTCCCTGTGTCTCTCTCCCCGTGTCTCTCTCCCCGTGTCTCTCTCTCCCCGTGTCTCTCTCTCCCCGTGTCTCTCTCTCCCCGTGTCTCTCTCTCCGTGTCTCTCTCCCCGTGTCTCTCTCTCCCCGTGTCTCTCTCTCCCCGTGTCTCTCTCTCTCCCCGTGTGTCTCTCCCCTGTCTCCCTCCCCTGCTCCCCGTGTCTCTCTCCCCCCGTGTCTCTCCCCGTGTCTCTCTCCCCGTGTCTCTCTCTCCCCGTGTCTCTCTCCCCGTGTCTCTCTCCCCGTGTCTCTCTCTCCCCGTGTCTCGCTCCCCGTGTCTCTCCCCGTGTCTCTCTCTCCCTGTGTCTCTCTCTCCCTGTGTCTCTCTCTCCCCGTGTCTCTCTCCCCGTGTCTCTCTCCCCGTGTGTCTCTCGCTCCCCGTGTCTCTCTCTCTCGCCGTGTCTCTCTCTCCCCCCCGTGTCTCTCTCGCCGTGTCTCTCTCTCCCCGTGTCTCTCTCTCCCCGTGTCTCTCTCTCCCCGTGTCTCTCTCTCCGTGTCTCTCTCCCCGTGTCTCTCTCCCCGTGTGTCTCTCGCTCCCCGTGTCTCTCTCTCTCGCCGTGTCTCTCTCGCCCCCCCGTGTCTCTCTCGCCGTGTCTCTCTCTCCCCGTGTCTCTCTCTCCCCGTGTCTCTCTCCCCCCGTGTCTCTCGCTCCCCGTGTCTCTCTCTCCCCGTGTCTCTCTCTCCCCGTGTCTCTCGCTCCCCGTGTCTCTCTCTCTCCCCGTGTCTCTCTCCCCCCGTGTCTCTCTCTCCCCGTGTGTCTCTCCCCTGTCTCCCTCCCCTGCTCCCCGTGTCTCTCTCCCCCCGTGTCTCTCTCTCCCCGTGTCTCTCTCTCCCCGTGTGTCTCTCTCCCCGTGTCTCTCTCTCCCCGTGTCTCAATCTCCCCGTGTCTCTCTCTCCCCGTGTCTCTCTCTCCCCGTGCCTCTCTCTCCCCGTGTCTCTCTCTCCCCGTGTCTCTCTCTCCCCGTGTCTCTCTCTCCCCGTGTCTCTCTCCCCCCGTGTCTCTCGCTCCCCGTGTCTCTCTCCCCGTGTCTCTCTCCCCGTGTCTCTCTCTCCCCGTGTCTCTCTCTCCCCGTGTCTCTCTCTCCCCGTGTCTCTCTCTCCCCGTGTCTCTCTCCCCGTGTCTCTCTCTCCCCGTGTCTCTCTCTCTCCCCGTGTCTCTCTCTCCCCGTGTCTCTCTCTCTCCCCGTGTCTCTCTCTCTCCCCGTGTCTCTCTCTCTCCCCGTGTCTCTCGCTCCCCGTGTCTCTCTCTCCCCGTGTCTCTCTCTCCCCGTGTCTCTCTCTCTCCCCGTGTCTCTCTCTCCTCGTGTCTCTCTCCCCGTGTCTCTCGCTCCCCGTGTCTCTCTCCCCGTGTCTCTCTCCCCTGCTCCCCGTGTCTCTCTCCCCGTGTCTCTCTCCCCTGCTCCCCGTGTCTCTCTCCCCGTGTCTCTCTCTCTTCCCGCGTCTCCCTGTGTCTCTCTATTCAATGTCTCTCCCCCAGTTGTCTCTCTCCCCGTGTCTCTCTCACCGTGTCTCTCTCACCGTGTCTCTCTTCTCGTGTCTCTCTCCCCGTGTCTCTCTATCCGTGTCTCTCTCCCGTGTCTCTCTACCCGTGTCTCTCTCCCCGTGGCCTGTGATGAGTAACTCTTTCACCATCTTTCGACTGAGTCTCTGTGATGGAGGAAATCTTTAGCCTGAGGCCACAGAGAGACTCCCCGTGTCTCTCTCTCCTCGTGTCTCTCCCCCCCCCCGTCTCTCTCTCTTCCCGTGTCTCTCTCCCCGTGTCTCTCTCCCCCCCGTGTCTCTCTCTCCCCGTGTCTCTCTCTCCCCGTGTCTCTCTCTCCCCGTGTCTCTCTCCCCGTGTCTCTCTCCCCGTGTCTCTCTCCCCCCCGTGTCTCTCTCTCCCTGTGTCTCTCTCCCCGTGTCTCTCTCCCCGTGTCGCTCTCCCCCCCGTGTCTCTCTCTCCCCGTGTCTCTCTCTCCCCGTGTGTCTCTCTCCCCGTGTCTCTCTCCCTGCGTCTCTCTCCCCCGCGTCTCTCTCCCCCGCGTCTCTCTCCCGTGTCTCTCTCCCCGTGTCTCTCTCCCGCGTCTCTCTCCCCGTGTCTCTCTCTCTCCCCTTGTCTCTCTCCCCCGCGTCTCTCTCCCCCGTGTCTCTCTCTCTCCCCGTGTCTCTCTCCCCGTGTCTCTCTCTCCCCGTGTCTCTCTCTCCCCGTGTCTCTCTCTCCCCGTGTCTCTCTCCCCCCATGTCTCTCTCCCCGTGTCTCTCTCTCCTCGTGTCTCTCTCCCCGTGTCTCTCCCCCCCCCCCCCCCGTGTCTCTCCCCCCCCCCCCCACCGTGTCTCTCCACCCCCCGTGTCTCTCCCCCCCCCCCCATGTCTCTCTCTCCTCGTGTCTCTCCCCCCCCCGTGTCTCTCCACCCCCCGTGTCTCTCCCCCCCCCCCCCCCATGTCTCTCTCTCCCCGTGTCTCTCCCCCCCCGTGTCTCTCTCCTCGTGTCTCCCCCCCGTGTCTCTCTCCCCCCCGTGTCTCTCTCCCCCCCGTGTCTCTCTCCCCCCCGTGTCTCTCTCTCCCCGTGTATCTCCCCCCCTGGATGTGGGTGCGAGGGGCTGGTAACACCTCCAATACAAGCCCCCCAACTAAGACACGTGTTAAATATCTCGCTAAGCTTGTGCCGGAGGCCCCGGGGGGCCAGGCGTCTATGACGTCTCCTGGCCAAACCCCAATTGGCGGAGCCAGGAGATTGAATCTCTACCCTCGGGGCTCCTCCAGAAACAACGAAAAGGCACTTAGTGTGGCCACGTGGAATGTTCGAACGCTCACTGCGGAGGAGAGGCTGCCCACTCCTCTGTCGGGAGCTGGACCGGTACCGCCTGGATCTCTGTGGCATTCAGGAGGTCCGGTGGACCGGCTCTGGCTCCTGCCACCATGAGGGGTGGACAGTCCTCTACTCGGGGCAGCAGACTGCCAAACAACAGGGAGTGGCTCTTCTTTTGAACAAAATGATAAAGGGGGGGGCGTGGGAGCGTGGCGGTGAGGTGTGGGAAGCTGTGAGCCCCAGGCTACTTTGGGCTCGCCTTCCCATCAACCGGAGGCGAGGAGTGGTGGTCGTGGTTACTTATGCCCCCACTGAAGATGAAAATCAGTGGAGGGATGCAGGCAAGGCCGATGAGTCAGATGCCTTCTATGACCTCCTGTCACAGGTGCTGGCTAAAGTGGCCCCTCGGGATAGAGTCATCTTGTTGGGTGACTTCAATGCCCGAGTTGGTCATGATGCTGGCACCTGGTCTGGAGTAATTGGAAGCCATCGGCCAGATCGGCTCAATAACAACAACAACAGAAGGCTGCTAGACTTCTCTGCAGCCCATGGGCTTGTAATTACCAACACGCTGTTCCGGCATCGGCGCATCCACACAACATCATGGATGCATGCCAGGTCCAAGCACGAACATCTGCTGGACTACATAGTGACGGACCAGCGGATGCGAGCCCATGTCTTTGACACCAGGACCTACCATGGAGCTGATCTGCCCTCTGACCATCGACTAGTCATCTGTAAGATGCGCCTGCCATTCTTCCACTCCAGTGGTGGGTGTACATCCAGGACCCCATTCAAATTCATAGCGGCCTGGTCTCAGCTCGCTGATGAAATGTGCAAGCGAGAATTTCATCATCGCTTGCGGCTGGGGTTGGCATCGTCCCCGACTCCTCCTGATGTCGAGGGTAAATGGGCGAGGTTTAGGACTGTGACTCATGCAGCTGCAATGGCTGCTTTGGGTACGCGGTCCAGACCTCCCCAGAGACCCTGGCTGACAGAGGAGGTGTTCAGGATGGTTGAGAATAAGCGACAGGCCCACTGTCATCGGCTACAGAATCCCACGTCAGAGAATGAGGAGGCTTACCGCAGCCTTCGCTCGGAGGTTCGGAGAGCCGTGAGGCGCTGCAAGGATGGGTGGTGGTCGCGGGTTGCTGAGGAGACGGAGTCTGCCTCAGTGGCCCGCGATCACAAATCTCTAACTCCATCAAAAAAGTAACCTGCAGCGCCCCCTGTGAGTGGCTGGCTGAGGTGCCATCTGTTGAGGAAGTACCGGAGGCGATCCGGAGTCTGAGAGCAGGAAAGGCAGCGGGTAGAGATGATCTCCCAAGCGAAATGCTGAGGGAGGGTGGCGTTTGTGCACAGACTGCCCTACATGACATCGTAACAACAGTCTGGACCACTGGACGGGTTCCGCAGGATTGGAACGATGCCCTGGTGGTCCCCCGCTTAAGGAAGGGGGACCGCACAGACTGTAACAACTACAGGGGCATCTCACTCCTCTAAGTGTGCCGGGAAAGGTCCTGGCAAGGATTATTCAACATCGCCTTGCCAGGCACGCTGAGGGGGAGGCTTGCGGAGCCCCAATGCGGTTTCAGACCCAGGGCTGCTCCTGCACAGGTGCCGTACTTTCTGTCCGTCTGTGAGGAGCGACGCTCACAACAACGAGCGGAGCGCCCGGGGCGGCTGAAATGCAGCAATTTGGCGCAGTAGGGGGGTGTCCAGCTGGTGGTGCATCGACCGGGCATATCAGGCGACCCGTGGCACCTGCTGGGTCTGCCCCGTGACCTCCTGGTGCACCTAGCCTGGCACCCAGTTAGGGGGTGTACAGCTGGTGGTGCATCGACCGGGCATATCAGGCGACCCGTGGCACCTGCTGGGTCTGCCCCGTGACCTCCTGGTGCACCTAGCCTGGCACCCAGTAGGGGGGTGTACAGCTGGTGGTGCATCGACCGGGCATATCAGGCGACCCGTGGCACCTGCTGGGTCTGCCCCGTGACCTCCTGGTGCACCTA